CAAAAATATGGATACCTTCAGACTTGCTAATATTTCGAGAATGGTATCAAATATTAACATGCAATTTGGACGGGAGGGTTTATAGATTCGATTGACATGAATCGATCGAAAAATGAAAGCGTAAATCGATCGACACCGACTCGATTGACAAATTCTTAAAAAACCAGTGTCATGAATCCAACATGAAGCGATCGAAAAGTTGGAACGTGAACCAATTGACGTGATTCGATCGGCACTGATTCGATTGACGTCCGTAAATCGATCAAAAACCTGCGAATCGATCGACAAATCCGTGGGTCGATTGACAACCCCGTGAGTCGTTCGAAAAATCCGTGAATTAATCGATAAACCCGTGAATCGTGAAATTTTGAAAATTCGAAAATCCAAGATTAGGGATGTGGCCTAAAATGCTATCTCGGCTCCTGTTCGATCGATCTTGCTGATTTAAGGTTTGAAGGGTATTTTTGGACGAGAAACTAGAATTTCTAGTCAAATTGTGAAAATTCGAAAATTCAAGGTGGCGGATGTGGCCTAAAATGCTATCTCGGCTCGTGCTCGATCTATAGTGGTGAATCTTCGTACCAGGGAGTATCTTAGGTCGGGAAACTCAAATTTTTGGTCAAAAAAAAAATCGAAAATCCAAGATGGTGGATGTGGCCGAAAATGACCTTACTCAGGGGATCTTTCATTCCTCGGAGACACGCGTTTAAAGGGGAGCTCAGAAGACGCAACCTCAAACTTGTTTTTCGTGGATTGAAATTCGAAAAATATCGGAGAAAATTCTTGTAGCTTACGCGTAGTAAATACTTCAAAATATGCAAAAATCAGAAATTACTGAACAAGCTCATGGTCAAAATTTGAAAAAATTTCAAATTTTTGAAATTCGGCTAGAAATTCTAGTTTCCCGTCCAAAAATACCCCCTCGTACCAAACATCAGCAAGATCGATCGAACAGGAGCCGAGATAGCATTTTAGGCCAAATCCGCCATCTTGGATTTTCGAATTTTCAAAATTTGACCAGAAATTAGAGTTTCCTGTCGAAAAATACCCCATGTTACCAAAAATCATGCAAGATCGATCGAACAGGAGCCGAGATAACATTTTGCCGTCCTGCTTATAGTTCCGAATTGCAAAATGGGAAATCCGAGTTTCGCATTACGCAATAGGGAACCATAGTATAGGTAGGTCCCAATTGCAAAATGAACCTCGCGTGATCCTGCGACGGCAAATTTTTACGGGGTCGCTGAAGTGGGATAAAAATCGTTTGGGAGGGTTTTCTTCTCAATAGTAGGTGAGTAAATACTCTCCTGATACGGAATTCATCAGAAAAAAAAAAAAAAAAATCAAAAATTTGACCCTAGGTCCTCATTGCATAAATCTGTTCAATTGATCTATTGCTCTAGCCGGCCGAATTTAGCATCTCAATTTATTGATCTACTATTGTTCTCCCTTGCCTTATTTGATCAGCCTACCCCTCTACTGGGCCACAAGCGATGTCCTAAATCCTTCGAATGCTATTGAAACAAGCAACTAATAGATAAAAAATCCAGTCGCCGTTTCCGGTTCATTCAATGCAAAAAAAGGGAGGTACTGGAACACGCGAGTGTAAAGGAAATGCAGAATTGGTGAGGAAGGGGCTCTTGGTGTGCAACACTTTTTCGGGGCTGCCATGAGTATGTACTCTGGGTTGAAGGCAACTATTCCATGCAAGGAAATCGACCTTGTTTAAAGCACAGGTTGCAACAAATTGCAATTACATGATAAAATTATTGCTGATTGATTAGGGTGTTGTATTCTGCTGTCTGTTAGGATGGTCCTCATTTTCAACTTTTGGGAAATTTTAATGGCTGACCCCATAAAAAGATTAGATATAATGAAAAGAGAACATGGGTAAAGATATTTTTGAAAAAAAAAATTTCTCAAAGGAGGCGCCAGGCTGTTTAGATCCATGTGCCTATTTGAGCGTAATGTCTTTGCTCCAGACCTGACAAAATTCACTTTATGCTGATAGCAGCAGAGCAGCTCAGGTGGGGCTTGGCACTGATCGTGCAACCCTGTGCTTTCGATATACAGTGGACTCTCGATAATTCGAACCTCGATAATTCGAAATCCTCCTTAATTCGAAGGAAAGTCTCTCGATAATTCGAAGAAAATCAATGTATTTTTCTCCCCTCGTTAATTCGAAATTTTTAAGCTGGCGCGGCCCTCTATAATTCGAAAATGCGACGAAAATTCCCTCTGTAATTCGAAGTGTGGGAAGTAAATATGGCCCACCCTCTATAATTCGAAATAAGATAGTACATTCCCTCTACAATTCGAAGTGAACTGTTTATGTGCCTGGGTGTCTGAAAGAGCTTGACCTTTGACCTAAAGACCTTTTGGCATGAATCCGTCCATTTGCCCCTCTATAATTCGAATTCAGATGGCGCCTTCCCTCTATAATTCGAAATTTTTACACATGGAATCTCTTTAATTCGAACTCTCTTTATTTCAAAACCTCGCTTATTCGAAAAAAAACCAATTCCCTTCAATTTCGAATTATCGAGAGTCCACTGTAATAAAGGTTGTGCCTTCTCAACGTTCAATTCGGGTAATCTTTACTTCTTTACTTCCATGGCAATGTCTCACGGTCCTATATTAAACTACTTGTAGAGTATTAGTTACTTACATAACTAATAAGAAGCAGCAATCAACATGAACCATGACTCAAAAAGCTCGTATTGTACAGAAAAATTACACTTGAACATACTGGCAGGGTGCGTGTTAAAACCTTGTTTGTGCATGTATTTCATCTGCTTGATAGAGGATATTTGAAAACTTGACTAAAGTTCTTTAATTTACTTTACACTTCCCTTTTATTAACTACGGATGATTAACACATTAGCTGTTGTTAAACTAGCGCAGAAATGATTTTTTGAGGTAATTCAGTCATTAAAAACTTTCAACAAAAGAGAAAAAAACAAAGAAACAAGGAGATTGAGGTCTTCTTTTTTTAAAAAGAGAGAAGGTTGAAGGAGCAGGTCAATAACAGCTCTCCCCAAACTTCTTTATGTTATAAAAAAATGGACAATCAAACATAACACCATTATTTCCAATTAGCTGCAGCAGATATGAGAGCTAATTCCTGAGAGTCGATAAAATTACTTCATGAGGTTCAAATTTGAACTACGTAAATACTATAACAGGAGTAAAGAAAGGTCCGTATCACATGATCATGATTGCAAGGCCACTTCTAAGAAAAAATGGGAGGCCAAGCTCACACTAGCTAGAATCGCAAGGTTTCTCGAAGAATTGTAGTGAACTTTACATATTTTTCGCAAAATTTCGGCAATCTGTAAATAAAATACATAAAAAGGTTATATCTTTGAAAATTTTGAGACAAAAGGAATTTTTAAAATGGAAAGGTCACCTTGAAAAATGGGATGGCTTTCTACACCCCTGCGCTACAACAATACCAGCGATATACCTACGGAAATCATTGCACAACATAAAAACATGATTTCTTCCAAGCTCTAAAAAGAACAAAAATATATATTAACAAGGAATTATTAAAATTCAGACTATCTACATGCGAATTAACGATCAGGACACCTAAAATGTTAAAACTTGAAAAAGATACAATGATAAAAATATGAAGAAAGAAAGCAACAAAATGCAGCAGAGGTTGCAAAATAAATACACAATGAAAGCAAATGGGCCTGTTGCAAACTTTTGCTAGAGCAAAACTAAGAGTTGTTTCCTGCAGATAATGCCTCAAAAATCACGATGAGCGCATCGGCAAAGTCTGAAATGCACTTATAACTTCACAATCTGCGTAAGATTTTTGCGGTTTTTTGAGCTTCCTGCTTCGAAAACGATACTACGGTACAGGTGAACATTTTGTTAGAGGAGTCGTTCCATTGGCGACAATACTCATCATGGCCGACGCCAGTCCGCCAAAACACATGTGATGGGACGAGATAACACCTGAACAGGATTAAACCAGATAACAATCGGCGTGTTTACGTTCATATTTTCCTCGCCCGCCTGAATTGACCTTGAACTCTCCTCGAATTACGCGAGGAACTGCGCAAGCGTCGGCCATGATGAATATTGCCGACGATGGAGCGACTCCTCTAACAAAATGTTCACCTGTGCAGTAGTATCGTTTTTGAAGCGGGAAGCTCAAAATAACGCAAATTTCTTACGCAGATTGTGAATTTATGAGTGCATTTCAGACTTTGCCGATGCGCTCATCGTGATTTTTGAGGCATTATCTATAGGAAACAACTCTTCATTCTGCTCTAGCAAAAGTTTGCAACAGGCCCATTGATGCTTCAGACCTTTATGCTCCTTTCATTCTATCTACGGAAGAATTAAATGCTGTTAATTTTTGATGCAACTCCATGATTTTGCGAGCAAAGGTTGTTTTGGTAACTTTTAATAGGTCAAGAAGATTTTGACAGAAACACAAATATTGTTGCTGAAATAACATAAAAATGTATACACTGAGCGCAACACAAAACTGGATACTTGAAAAATTCTGCGGTGAAAAGGCATATGCTCGCTCATACCTTCTTTGGGGACGGGGGAGAGACACATTTTCTTAATCCTTGAACTCTGAGGGTTCTAAAAATACACAGTTTCTATCCTTTTCTGAAACTTTAGGAAAAATAGTGTAAGCCAGCGTTAATGTTTCTGTCAATAAACAGTTTCGTTCACACAATTACTATTGTCAAAGGTTGAATTTTTCCTCTTTCTTCAACTGAGCACCTGCAGGCTGATTATTTAAATTATACGTTTGTCAACCGGACATAGATGACATAGGTTAAATGGCGGAGCGTGATTGGTTGGCTTTGTCTTATTGCTGCTTTGTTGTGCCTTTGACAGGTGGAATTCACGACAAGCTAAAGGTGCCTCTTGAGTTTCTGATAGTACGAGGGGTATTCGTAAAGTAAGTTAATATTTGTCATATCTTCTAAACTAATAAAGATAATTTAAATCTGTAAAAATTGTGTGAATTTTCATACTCTCAGCTTTCTAAAAAGCGTCCGTTTTTTAAATTTGGTCTTCTGAGTGCCGAGTGACAACGGTTTTCCCACACCCGTCTCTCACCACCGCGTGTCCAAAATTGATGCCCCCTGGGGAGGTCACAGGACGGTAGCATGTGGCTTCATCCTGCAAATTGTCAAAATGGAATTTTTTGTTTGAAATTTAAATTTCCATGCTTGTGAAGACCTGACTTTACTTTTCCACGTAATCCCCATCTCGTAGGACACATTTTACATATCATATCAAGGGCTTATTTATTCCATCAGCGTAAAACTGGTGATTCTGTTTTTGCAACCACTTTTGTACAGCTTCTTTCACCTCATCGTCGTCCACGGAACTTTTTTCGCCAAAACTCTTCTCTAGCTCAGGTAAAAAGTGATAAGTCACGTGGAGTGAGATCCTGAGAATAAGGAGGATGTAGGAAAGGTCTCATTTTAAGGAGGTCAACAACTGATTGGTCACAAGAGCTATATGGGGTCATGACAATGCTAGCATTACTTGATGAGACAAAAGGCCAGGGTATTTTCTTTTGAATGCTAATTTGAGCCTTTTTATGACATCACAGTTTCTGTTTGCATGAATATTTTTGCTTCTTTCTAAGAAATAAATGAGTAACACTCATCAAGCACCCCTGAAGACGCGCGTAAATTTTGGACACGCGGTGGTGAGAGACGGGTGTGGGAAAACCAATGTCACTCGGCACTCAGAGGACCAAATTTAAAAAACGGACACTTTTTAGAAATCTGAAAGTATGACAATTTACAAAATTTTTACAGATTTAAATTATCTTTATTAGTTTAGAAGATAAGATAAATATTGACTTACTTTACGAATACCCCTCGTATCTTGTTCATTCCAACTGACCAAGGCACAACAAAGCAGTGGTACGACATAGTTGACTAATCACGCTCTGCCATTTAACCTATATCATCTATATCCGCCCTACAAATATAAAATTTCAATAATCGGCCCACAGTGCAAGTTTGAGCCCCAAACATGACAGTTTAAAATTACAAATTTTTCATCCGAAAAAACTGTTTTTTTTTTTTTTAGCTGTAGACTTCAATTTATCATGTTTTCAGTTTTGTTATACACTGATAGAAGTTCTTTGAGACCAAATGTTTGCATTACACTTTTTTATATGTTCTGAGATACTAGTTTTTAAATTTGAGATTTCTGTCAGTGAATGTTGAGAAATATTTCACCTAGACATTCTGCAGGGCAAGAGGTCAGGCACTGTATTTGGGAGCTGCCAACAGGAGTTGCTTTAAGCTTAGCTGAAGTAATTAAATTTTTAACTCCTTAAATCAATTGACCTGTTGATATTAAGTGTCCACAATACGATGACACCTTTATTTGGCACTTTAATTCGATGACATCAAAATTAGATGCCTCCTAAGCGCTGCAGTATGCTGCGTCTTAGTAGGCACTAACTGGCCATTACTATGTACAATGTACATCCTGCCAGAATGCACTGTGCGGTGCTGGCCTTGGATTACAATTATTAGCAACTTACAGTAGAGATTATAGGATCACTCTTCAACCTTCATTTACGCCATGCTTGTCATGTTGTCAATGTAACCTTATACTGGATATGGGTTTGATCGTGTGTTTGTCTATCACTACGATAGCTTTAGTTTTGGGGCAGAGACAAGGAGAGACCTTCCACTAACATCTTTGCGACAGGTGGAGACTTACACTTTCGAGGATTAGAGAGCAGCAACAGTCATCAATCTTGAGACTGCTGCTGATCAACTGGTTTGGTCGCTTGGTTTAAAATGCACAAGAAACCGAGGATGGTTTCTGGCTATCAGACTGATTTTGGTTTAAAAAAGTAGATTAGGTGAAGAGTTTGATACCCAAGTTCTCTGACTATTCCCCTCTTAATTTTTCAAATTTTGCACAATAAATAGAGGACTTCAGATGGAACAAATAAAACAGCAAAAATAGACTAACTGGGAATTGTTCTGATTTGACTCCTATATCACCTATCATCATGACTGTTGACTCCAAATTTTTCAAAGCGTGTGGCTCTGATCAAAGTTTTCAAAAATCACTCTTCTATCAAAAGGTTGAAGAGCAAACAAATAATCAGAGAAGTTCATTGGTCTAGGGAGGAATATATTGGTCTCAACAAGATAACACATACATCGGCAGACAAATTGACAGAAAAGATAATTGAAATAGAATGTACCCGACTTTTGCTTGATGCCAGTAACAATAAGACACTCAAGGAAAACAGTATAAATGCTGTAGGAAATATTAGAGTCTAAGAACTCTAATGTCGGATATTTTCTTCATAAATCAAAAGATAAGATGCGTTTCAAGGATTTTACCTTTTAACTCACCTTACAAATTAAAAAGACAGAGTAAATAACAAGCAACAGATCGAATAAAAGTTTAAAAAAATGATCACAAGTAACAGGGCATGTAACACGTTCTTAAGGAAGCTACACTATGTAAAACCAGGATGTCCTAGACAACTGAAATTAGACACCCTTATTGTTGAATGTTTCATGATCCAAAATAATATTTGGAGTGCAGAACACCTTAGCTATTCAGAAGAGAGCATGCTTTTTCAAAAATCAAAGTGATTTTCACAAAACAACAAGTTTCAGTTTATGCCCTTTTACCAAAAAACTCTTCAATTTACCAAAGAGAACTCACAAGCACAGACTTGTTGATATATATTTGGCACTCAGTAATTGGAAAGTGCTGTCATACTGTTACAATGTTGATTTCTGCTGCCTGTGAGGGGACTGATGGAGTTTCCTTATTCATATTAGTCTCGATGTCTACTCTACAAATTGGACAGCGTTTGTTTGAGGATAACCATTGATCCACACATCCCACATGGAACAGATGCATACACGGTAAACGCCTGAAACCAAAAGAAGATGGTGAAAATGATCAATTAAATACATGGATGAAATCAAATACAGTAGGGGGGGGGGGACTTCATCACCCTTAAGGTGATTCCAAGTGATCTAGGGACAGCTCGTATCCGCGCAGAGAGCACCACTAGTCGTTTTTCTGAAGCGACCAGTAAATCGTCTATTACTTCAAATTCCCTGCGAAGATTTCCAAAATCGGATCCATAACTTATAGCTAATTTTTTGTATTATTTTTTGATGTATTTTTCATCGAGATTGGTTCAGTTTAAGAGGTGAAAGTACGGTTACAGATTTTGAGGTGAGGAAAAGCGGCCGTGAGAAAAGTGACCGCCATGATTGTTAAGGTTTTGTTTACCTAACTTTAGGTTATGTCTTCTGTTTATCTGCACAATATCATGGACGAAGATACTACATATAATGCGTTAACATGCAAAACATATAATACGTTAGTATATATTCATCCATGACAATATACAATATACAATGTTCAAATTGTTTATCTGATAAAGACTCAACCGCCTTTACGTATAAGGAATAGAATTTCCCGGTTTTTTCTTGCTTGTTATTCTGATGCCATCATTGTGGAAAAATCGCGTGTGGAACTTGTGTTTAACAAGATTTTGGGACGGATTCGAGTGCACTGGACCTGCTCACCGCACTGTAACTTAGGTAAGTTCTTACACTCTATTTACTTCTTCAAACGCAACCCCTATTATTCCAGTAGGCGCAAATACTTTAGAGGAACAAGCAAAATATACGGAGACTGGGGTGAACACTATATTTGCGCCAACAATTCTCATTAGTTGGTAAATGAAAGCGCTGTATGTTCCGAGTATGTTTATACACTCTCAGAGACGAACCAAAGACCCTCTATCTTGA